ATGGAGATCATTATCACCCCCTTATGTATTATACATGGTGATCACTATTCCCTCCTTAATGTATTATACAGGGAGATCATATACCCCCCTATTATGTATGTATACATGGAGAATCCATATACCCCTTATGTTAATTAATACATGGAGATCAATATCCCCCCTTATGTATTATATACATGGTAGATCATATACCACCGTTATGTATTATACATTGGAGATCATACTCCCCCCTTATGTATTATACATGGAGATCATATTCCCTCCGTTATGTATTATACACGTTATGTCATTATACAAATGGAGAGCAACACTATCCCCCGTTATATGTTTAATACATGGAGATCATATCACCCTTTTTGTATTATACAATTATTATACATGGAGATCATTATCCACCCCTTATGTATTATTTCATGGAGATCATATCACCCCTTAAGTATTATACATGGTAGATCATATCCCACCTTATGTATTATACATGGCGATCATATCCCCCCTTCCTTATGTATTATACATGGAGATCATATCCCCCCTTATGTATTAGATACACGGTGATCATTATCCCCTGTTATATGTATTATACATGGAGATCATATCCCCCTTATGTATTATACATGGAGGATCATTTTTATCCCCCCTTATGTATTATACATGGAGATCATATCCCCCTCCTTATGTATTATACATGGTGATTGATCATATCCCCACTTATGTATTATACAACCGGAGATCATATCCCCCTTATGTATTATACATGGAGGATCATATCCCCTTATGTATTATACATGGTGATCATATCCCCCTTATACTGTATTATATACATGGTTGATCATATCCCCCCTTATGTATTATACATGGTGATCATATCCCCCCACTTATGTATTAATACATGGAGATCATATTCCCCCCTTATGTATTATTACATGGTGATCATATCCCCCCCCTTATGTATTTTACATGGAGATCATATCCCCCTTATGTATTATACATGGAGATCTTATTCCAACCTTATGTTTATTATACATGGAGATCATATCCCCCCTTATGTATTATACATGGTGATCATATCCCCCCTTATGTATTATACATGGTGATCCATATACCCCCCTTATGTATTATACATGGAGATATCATATCCCCCCCCTTATGTATTATACATGGAGATCAAAATCCCCCCTTATGTATTTATACATGGAGATATATCCCCCTTATGTATTATACATGGTGATCATATTCCCCCCCTTATGTATTTTACATGGAGATCATATCCCCCCCCACTATGTATTTTTACATGGAGATCATATCCCCCTTATGTATTATACATGGAGATAATATCCCCCTCTTATGTATTTATACAAATGGAGATCATATCCCCCCTTATATTTATACTTGGAGTATTATTACATGGATACATCGAGACATATTCACAAACCTTGACATGATCATATCCCCCCTTAATCTCCTCTTCTCAAGAGAGAATAAATTGCAGTTCCTCTAATCTTTCCTCATAGCTGAGCTCCTCCCATGCCTCTTATCAGTTTGGTTGCCCTTCTCTGTACTTTCTCCAGTTACCCAATGTTTCTTTTTGTGTGAATTGGTGCCCAAAACTGAACTGCATATTCCAGATGAAGGTTTTTACTAATGATTTGTACCGGGGGAAATGAATCTCTCTCTCTGGAGTCTATACTTATTTTAATACAAGAGAGGATTTGCTCGCTTTAGAAGCCACAGCTTGGCATTGCTGCCATTATTAAGCTTGTGTTGATCCACCAGAACCCCAGATCCTTCTCACACCATTGATTTCCCTCAGTTGCACCCCTCCTAGTATGTATGATTGCATGCATATTCTTAGCCCCCAAGTGCAGAAACTTACATTTATCAACTCATTAATCCTCATTTGCCACATAGTTGCCAATTACAACAGAGCATTGAGGTCGGATAGCTTGTAAGTTGGAGACATCCTGTAAGGACGTTATTCCACTGCACAGCTTGTTGTCATAATATCCGCCTGGCGAAGCCACGTCACCCTGTGGCACAACGCATAGGGGAGGGGCTTGTGACGTCACACTTGCGGTCATTGGAGAATAGAGGAACACAAGGTGAGTGAGATATATGGATCCATATTGTGCATATTATGCTAAATATATGTAGTGTCTTTCAGCACCTTTTTATGTGAGTGACCATTTTAAGTTTTATAAAACCGATGTTTTAGTAAGATAAGACATTATCAGTCTTTCGTATTTTATGTCAATTGGAGGAGAAAAGGAGTAGTAAGAGGTGTGTGAGAAGGTGATCTGTTTATTTAGAAAGAAGATTCCTCCTCATGGTTCATCACCACCCCAGTCCATTAAAGGGACACAAGCGTATTATGATCAAGCATTACATGTGAGATCAAAATATTCAGGTGAGGGCGCAGTTGTAGTGTTTGATTTAGGAGAACTCATATTGTAATATGAAGATTTGCATGTTTTCGTAGGAATACGGATATAGGTTTCAGAAGAGGATTTCACAACATTTATTATATCTCAATCACAATATTGAGGACTCATGAACTTTGAATCACCGTTATGTATTGTGTTTGTATTTTATTAATGTATATGTAAAGTACATGAGGTTTGAGAAGCGTGGCGTTATTATTTTTATTTTATATTTTGGCACAGTGATACGGGTATGTGTAGATGTGAGCTGCTTCTCCATTGAATTATTGTTTTGTAATATTCTGTGTGGTTGCTCGCAAGATTTCCTGGTTATGGGTGCTTACAGTGATCATTTTTTTTTTTTTGCATTTGGGATAAAGGTTTTACACAAATAATAAAAATAAACAGCCTGCTTATAAAGCATTCACTGAAATTTGGTTTCAGTATGCTTGTGTATGTAAATCTGCTAGTACATCTAACCCTCCCCCCCCCCCCACAGACTGACAATGCTGTTATCCTAATGTGCCCCCTGTGCGCCTTCACCCAGAGTGGAGGCACTCTAATACAGGAGGTGTGCTACTGGCCAGATCAGGTGTAAACAGAGGGAAAGAAACCTAAAAAAAAAAAACGAATTCAGCCACCACATCAAATGATTGATAAGCTGCATTATAATGCAAGTTTTGGGGGTTTAATACCACTTTAATTTCATCAAGGTGGTTGTGTGCATCATCCCTGGATCAGGTTCGCCATAAGGGTGCCTCAGGATGAGAAACACTGCTCTGGTTTATAATAGAATGAATAGTACAGATTTAGTGTGTATATATATATATATATATATATATATATATATATATATATATATATACACACAGTGGGAATCGAAAGTTTGGGCACCCCAGCTAAAAATTTGTATTAATGTGCATAAAGAAGCCAAGGAAAGATGGAAAAATCTCCAAAAGGCATCAAATTACAGATTAGACATTCTTATAATATGTCAACAAAAGTTAGATTTTATTTCCATCATTTACACTTTCAAAATAACAGAAAACAAAGAAATGGCGTCTGCAAAAGTTTGGGCACCCTGCAGAATTTATAGCATGCACTGCCCCCTTTGCAAAGCTGAGACCTGCCAGTGTCATGGATTGTTCTCAATCATCGTCTGGGAAGACCAGGTGATGTCAATCTCAAAGGTTTTAAATGCCCAGACTCATCTGACCTTGCCCCAACAATCAGCACCATGGGTTCTTCTAAGCAGTTGTCTAGAAAACTGAAACTGAAAATAGTTGACGCTCACAAAGCTGGAGAAGGCTATAAGAAGATAGCAAAGCGTTTTCAGATGTCAATATCCTCTGTTCGGAATGTAATTAAGAAATGGCAGTCATCAGGAACAGTGGAAGTTAAAGCAAGATCTGGAAGACCAAGAAAAAATATCAGACAGAACAGCTCGCAGGATTGTGCGAGAAAAACAATTCAAAACCCACGTTTGACTGCACGATCCCTCCAGAAAGATCTGGCAGACACTGGAGTTGTGGTACACTATTCCACTATAAAGAGATACTTGTACAAATATGGTCTTCATGGAAGAGTCATCAGAAGAAAACCTCTTCTACGTCCTCACCACAAAAATCATAGTTTGAACTTTGCAAATGAACATATAGACAAGGCTGATGCATTTTGGAAACAAGTTCTGTGGACCGATGAGGTTAAAATTGAACTTTTTGGCCGGAATGAGCAAAGGTACGTTTGGAGAAGAAGGGGCACAGAATTTAATGAAAAGAACCTCTGTCCAACTGTTAAGCATGGGGTTGGATCAATCATGCTTTGGAGTTGTGTTGCAGCCAGTGGCACAGGGAACATCTCACGAATAGAAGGAAAAATTGATTCAATAAAATTTCAGCAAATTTTGGATGGTAACTTGATGCCATCTGTGAAAAAGCTGAAGTTAAAGAGAGGATGGCTTCTACAAATGGATAATGATCCTAAACACACCTCGAAATCCACAGGGGATTACATCAAGAGTCGTAAACTGAAGGTTTTGCCATGGCCTTCACAATCTCCTGACCTCAACATAATTGAAAATCTATGGATAGACCTTAAAAGAGCAGTGCGTGACAGACAGCCCAGAAATCTCAAAGAACTGGAAGACTTTTGTAAGGAAGAATGGGCAAAGATACCTCAAACAAGAATTGAAAGACTCTTGGCTGGCTACAAAAAGCGTTTACAAGCTGTGATACTTGCCAAAGGGGGCAGTACAAGATATTAACTCTGCAGGGTGGCCAAACTTTTGCAGACGCCATTTTTTTGTTTTCTGTTATTTTGAAAGTGTAAATGATGGAAATAAAAATCTAACTTTTGTTGACATATTATAAGAATGTCTAATCTGTAATTTGATGCCTTTTGGAGATTTTTCCATCTTTCCTTGGCTTCTTTATGCACATTAATACAAATGTTTAGCTGGGGTGCCCAAACTTTCGATCCCCACTGTATATATAATCAGTAATGGGTTCTTTCACCAGAATGTCATTCTACTTTTATATTTCCATGAACTGTCATTTCTTTATTTTATATATTTATATTATTTCACCTTGACTGTAAAAGTAGTTTGCACTTCTGTTCCCATGGTAAATTTTGGGACGAGACCCCAACAGGTTTTTGTGTTTTTACTAGCATGTTCAGACTGAAGACGAAGATTGTGCAACTGTCATTTTTTGCAGATAAAGCCTCTCCAGGTGTCACTTTCTCATTACCTGTAAAATAAAAAAAAACATCACATCTAACAGCATGAAATACCCTCTGGATTATGAAAGCCCATCCAGCTGTTTGTTAAAAATAAAATGTAGTGTACCGTCACTGAACACCTATCTGAAGTGTAACTCCACTTTTGTTGAGGAAAAACAAACAGTCCACTCTAGATCATTTATGTACATTGCAGGGATTTTAACAAACTTTGTTGCAGATTCCTACCTTGTGTTATAACCAAGAAACAGCTATTGTGCAGAGTGAAGGAGAATGGGAGAGTTTTTATAAATATCAATCAGCTGCAGCTCCTGCAGGGTTCTAATGAGGAAAGTGGCAGGGTCTGCATCCCTTTAGACATGATTTCCCTTTGGGAATGCCTCACCAAAATTACATTTTTGTTGAAGGGGATGCCAAAAATCTGACTTGTAAAAAAACATTCCTCTCTGGGTGATCTTTGTACATTGCAGGTATTTTAACAAACTTTGTTGCAAATTCCTACCTTTTGTTATTCAGAAGAAATAGCTGTTTGTGTCTATGTGCAGTGTGAATCTGTATGGGAGAGGTTTTACAAATATCAATCAGCTGCCGAACCTGTGGGATCCTAATGAGGAAAGTTGCAGGGTCTGCATCCCTTTAGGTGTGATTTCCCTTTGGGAGTATCTTACCAAAAATGACATTTTTGTTGCAGGGGATGCCAAAAAATCTAACTTGTATCTTAGTGCAGACTTCTGAGAAAATCAGTAAGCCAATCACACAAGCAGGAATTACATTTCCGGGGGGTGTTCCGTTTACCACCATTGTACAGAATGCCTCCAGGCAGCCATATTGCATTTTACAGAAAATTATAGCCCTGCAGATTGAACAGGAAAGGTAATTTTAATAACATCCAATCGCAATATGACTTGTGTAGCAATTGTATACGTTATTATTTTCTTTTTAATTTTATATTTTGTTCCCCATGAAAGTGGCGTTGTCCTTTAAGTTATTAATGTATTGTTTAATTAAAAATGATTTATGATGTGACTTTCACATTTTTACTTGCGATTTCTTTCCTTTTTTATTGTATTAAATGAAAAGATTTCATGACTGGCTACTAGAGGAAGCAAACACTCAATCTGCTGCAAACACTCTGCCTCCATTCTTAGCAAATGGCGAGATAAGATATCTACCATATAGGAGTTTGTTGTTTTCTGGTTCAAATTTATTGACGTAAAATCATGTATACATTGAACACATGTATGGCCAATATAGAGCCGAGCCAAACTCCACACAGGGATAACATCAAAGACATTGCAAACTGAGTGTTTGCAAAATGTTCCATCCCAGCCATAGCTCGAGATTGGTTTGAGACATTTAGTCATCAAGTAGATCCAGGATAGAGAGTAAGAAAAAGGGGGAAGGGTATCCTTAGGTTATCCCGATAAGTGGCCCAACATTCTGATGTAAGGATTGAGCAACATTGAGGGTCAAGACTCCAATAGGTTCGTATCGAAGTCGGGGTAAAGAAAGTTGTCTACCCAGGGTTCCGAGTCTTCAAGTATGTGCGGATTCTGTCCTGCAGAGTGGCTTCAATTTTGGCATGGTTGATTGCTTGGGTGACTCTATCCTTTACAGCTAAACCACAGAGGGCAGACGGTTTCCAGGATTTTCCTATTGTTTGCTTCGCTTTGTAATTTGCATCAAAATTGTAAACTGGGCTTTGGTCAAGTTTGGGACATTATGGTTCAGTAGAGCAATCAGAGGGTCGGGTTGCAGGGCTGTACCAAATAAGTTGATGATTCAAAAATCTCCAACCAAAAAGAGCCCACCAAGAGGCAAGTGCACCAAACATACAGGTATGTTCCTGTTTCACCACAGCCTCTAAAACAAAGGGTGGAGTACCCAGGATGTATTTTGCTATTGTCGAGTGGACAAGGTACTATCTAGACCAGGGGGTCTCCTTCAGAGTTTAGAGGGGCTGGACTGTAGCCAGTAGGAGTACAAAATGTTCAAGCATTGCTAACAATTGTCCCCCATTGTTTGTGTCCATGAGAGGAATAGTGCCCCATCATTGGTATCATAATTAGAATAGTGCCCCATCATTGGTATCCATAAATAGAAATAGTGCCCCATCATTATCAATAAAAAAAGAATAGTGTATCCATAAATAGAATAGTGCCCCATCATTGGTATCCAAAATAAATAGAATAGTGCCCCATCATTGGTATCAATAAAAAAAGAATAGTGCCCCCCATCATTGGTATCCATAAATAGAATAGTGCCCCATCATTGGTATCCATAAATAGAATAGTGCCCCATCATTGGTATCCATAAATAGAATAGTGCCCCATCATTGGTATCATTGGAATATGCCATCAATCCATAAATAGAATAGTGCCCCATCATTGGTATCATAAATAGAATAGTGCCCCATCATTGGTATCCATAAATAGAATAGTGCCCCATCATTGGTATCAATAAAAAAAGAATAGTGCCCCATCATTGGTATCAATAAAAAGAATAGTGCCCCATCATTGGTATCAATAAAAAAGAATAGTGCCCCAATCATTGGTATCAATATAAAAAGAATAGTGCCCCATCATTGGTATCAATAAAAAGAATAGTGTCCTATCATTGGTATCAATAAAAAGAATAGTGTCCCATTATTGTTATCAGTGAGAGGAATAGTGCCCCATCATTGGTGTCAGTGGGAGGAATTGTGCCCCATCATTGGTATCATGGGAGGAATAGTGCCCCATCATTGGTATCAGGGGAGGAATTGTGCCCCATCATTGGTATCAGTGGGAGGAATAGTGCCCCATCATTGGTATCAGTGGGAGAATAGTGCCCCTTCTTTGGTGTCAGTGGGAGTAATAGTGCCCCATCATTGGTATCATTGGAAAGAATATTGCCCCATCATTGGTCTCAGTGGGAGTAATAATGCCCCATCATTGGTGTTACTAGAAAGATTACTGTCCTATCATTGGTGTCACTAGAAAGATTACTGTCCCATCATTGGTGTCAGTGAGAAGAATAGTGCCCATTCATTTGTATCAGTGGGAGGAATAGTGTCCCATCATTGATGTCAGTAGGAGGAATAGTCCCCCATCATTGGTGCCAGTGAGAGAAAATACTGCCACATTGTTGGTGTCAGTGAGAGGAATAATGCCTATTTTTGGAGTCAATGAGAGGAATAGTGCCCCATTATTGGAGTTCGCTGAGAGGCACAGTGCCCCATCATTGGTGTCAGTGAGAATAGTGCCCCATTTTTGGTGTCAGTGGCCAAAATAAGGCTCCCTTGTTGGTGTCAGTGGGAGGAATAGTGCCCCCCTGTTGGTGTAAGTGGGCAAAATAGTGCTCCCTTGTTGGTGTCAATGGGAGGAACAATGCCTAATTGTTGGTGTCAGTGGCAGGAATTATGCCCCATTGTTAATGACAGTGGGAGGAATAGTGCCAAAGGGCCAGATAAAGGCAAGCAAAGGGCTGCATCAGGGCTCTGGGCCACAGTTTGGAGACCACGGATCTAGACAACACCTTATAGTTAGTTTCCTGTGCTGCTATATTTTGCAAAGCTTTAGGAGTAGACACCCAAATGTCAGACCATTCCTCCAGTATCAGGTTTATGGATTATTCCGCTGCCCAGCAAGTGACATAAGTCACTAACATAAGTGTTATAAATTGGTGGTTAGACCTGACAATAGGCATCTATAAAGTTCTGAGATCACACCCTTGGCATGAGGGTCAGAGGACCATAAATGATAGGATGGGTATGTTCTGGTGGGAGTTTGTTGTTTTATTCATAGACTTGCATTACGAGAGGCAGGATCTGAGTGCCACTATTGTGCAGCAGGAAGCTATGTAGGGAAAAAATATGGGTGCAAGTGATCTTCCTGTACTTTGTTTGTAACAGCACTATAGGCAGACACTATTTTTTTTACTTCAACTCGGAAATTTCTGGGGAGCAAAAGGAACTTCTGCTTGCATTTGGTTATTGTCACTCCACATAGGTCAGCATCTGCTTCCTAGACTGAGATGAAGCCTTAGTGATGACAGTCATATCCTTTACATCATTTCTCAGATGCTGCCTCTCACTTAACTGGTCACTAACTTGTTACAAAAATTACAGTCTTTACGTTTGATTATTAGGTGCGAGGAGACTGAGGAAATGCTTCCTCAGCCCATGGCATGGCAGAGAGATTACATCAGTCGTCTGAAAAGCTCCTCTCAGGCACAGTCACAGCAACTTATATAATGAGTATAATGGGTACAAAATGGCTTAAAAATGTATATTTTATATATATATATATATATATATATATATATTACACACACACGGTATATAGTGTTGCTGTATATTGTGACATGTCATAAATGCATTCTTGCAGATTTAGGGCTCGTACACGGGACATTTGGAAAACACTTCTGAACGATGGAAACTGACTGATGGAAAACACAGGTTAACCACTTAATGTCCGGACACTTTTACCCCCTTCCTGTCCAGGGCAATTTTCAGCTTTCAGCACTATCACACTTTGAATGACAATTGCGCGGTCATGCAATACTGTACCCATATGAATTTTTTACCTTTTTTTTAGACAGATAAAGCTTTATTTTGGTGGTATTTATTCTCCGCTGGATTTTTAATTTTTTTTGCTGTGTAAATGAAAACATCCAAAAATTTTGAAAAAGTGTTTTTTTTTTAATAAAATTTTGCAAATAAATAATATTTCATCATAAATCTTGGCCAAAATTTATTCCGTTATTTTTTTAGTAAAAAAAAAAAAAAATCCAAATTAGTTTATAACCAAAAATTATAATTTTTAAACATTTTTTTTACATTTTATTTTATTTTTTATATTATTATTTTTTATTTGTATTTATTTTTTTTTTACATACTGTCACCCTAGCAGTACAGTGTCACCATGGTGACACTGTACTACTTGTGGGGGGTGATGAAGATTTTTTTTTTTTACACTGATTGCTTTTACACCCATATAGGATGTAAAAGCAATCATTTCTCTTTCTCTCT